CAACACATAAAATATATAGAAATAATTTATCACTTGTTCTATGCGTAATCTATCCAGCTAATTGAAATTGCACAAATTTTACCGTTCAATTAACATATTATGATAAAAAATAAATTACAACTTACCTTAATACAGAGTGTTTTTAGAGTGTTTCTTCAAAATAATAATCTAATCTCCGCAGTGTACTTTTAACTGTACGGAATAACTTTAGATTACTATAACAATATGATTTGTATAATAAATAAGTAATACGTATAGAAGATAGTTAATTTATCAGATGCCGAGCTGTCATAGATATGCAAATTGAAGTGCATTAAAGGGATTATTAAAAAATTATTATCAGATATCACTATTTCAGTGGAAGATATTATTATTTTTTTTATTTATAGATAATAAAAATATGTATAATGTTAATGTAAAAAACAAATAATCGTTGCATAATGTATTAAGTTAATAAAAAAAAAGTATATAAAAATGAAATTTCTATAACGTTATTTTAAAAAATATCTGAAATAGATGTTAAAGTTGAAATTCGGTTTTTCGTTCTATTTTTCAAAAATACTATTCTTTTAACATTTTTTTATTCTAACACATCTACGGGATCATTTGATTATTGTTTTTTTTTCGAACTACAATATTTATATGCTCTTATTTTAACTCTTAATAAGAGTAATTTGAATTTCATATAAATGTCGTTTAAATAAATAACAACGCACTTCACATTTGTCATGATGTTATTTTCAGGTTAAATTTTCATGTTTTCACTCAGTTGTCAAAAGCATTGCAATAGAATTTAAAAATTGCTTTAAACTAATTGATTTGTTACAAATTAATTTGTTGAAATAATTTGTTACATCCGAGAAAATAATTTCTTCGGATTGCAGTTTGTATTTTGTGAGCGCGAATGGTTTTTAAATTATTTTGTCTGTAATACTCGTATGCCGTATGAATTTTTTTCTAATTTTATTTTATTTTATATTTTAATATCATGAGCGTACAAGCTAAATAAATAAGTAAAAAATATTAATCTAATTACAATTACTATTATAATTGTATAGACTATTTTAGTTTTATGACAAATGTGTAACTTTTATATGATAATGCCCAAACTCTGAATTCTTTGTGTACCTAACTATTATATATCACTTTTTTCGTTTAGATAAAGTTTAACCTTTATAAAGAAATCTGTATGTATATATGAATATAATGTTTCAATAGCTGTAAGAAGAGTATAAACCTATTTGGTTCGGTATTCTAAATGTCTACGTCTACATATTTCGACTTGCATTACAGCACTGATTCGAACCAATCTCACAAAAGTTTTTTTAATTAACTGATTCCAGTAATCATTTTATTTCCCTAGAATATGACTCATACCCGAAGACACGTCCACATTACTTCATCCGATTTATTATTATGGCATAATAGTAAAACAACGCACTAATAGTAATAGTATATATTAAAACAGAATATCATGGGTTGCTCAAAAATATTAAACTACTACGTGTATAATATTTGTGAAATTTTAAATCAACCTTTGATTTAAAATAATGTACATGTTTCATTTGTTGAATGAAAAACATTGATTAATTTTAGTGGTAAAGTAGTTCGATTAGGAATGGGCTTTAAATCCGAAGATCTGAATTTTCCGAGTATCCGGATTTGATTCAGTCATATCCAGATTTGCCAAAGTATCCGAATTTATTGATTTGCTTTTTATGTAAATTATAATTATTTTTAATTTCTGGTAAAATCAATTATTTAATTATGTTGTAATTAAAATTTAACAACAAATTGATATTATGTTTTATGAATTACAGTATATTTATCATGACTCCAACAGTTTTTATAATTTATTATTAATTACCAAAACAAGTTATTAAATTGTTGAGTTTATTTTATACCTGTATGACTTATAGTGATATTATGACTGAATACCCAATTCACTCATATTTTTTACAAAACCTTAATTAGATTTATCTGAATATAAAAATGAATCATTAAAAAAAAAAGTTGAAAAATCTGGATTGCTGGGATAATCCATGCAATCTGGGTATGTCCATCACCAAGTTCAATATTTTTTCTCAAATAATAATATAAAAAGAAATTCTTGAAATTTTATTTCATGTTCGTAATAGCTAAACATATTTGTATACAAATTAGAATATAATTTACGATCAATATTTATAATAAAAACACCCAGGTACATTTATAATTATGGAGATTAAAACGATGATGAAAAACGTAACAACGTCATAGTTCTTCTAACGTATTATATTATTCTTTTTATACATAAATATCTACTTAATTTAAAAATAACCATACAGTAAAATACTTAGTAATTTTTATATCATGAAATAAAATAAAATAGAAAAATTTAAATTCTATTACACTTTTCTATTTTATTGCTAAACCATTCAAATAAAATTATCGAAAATCAATGAAAATAATATACTATAAAATAACAATTGTAATATCATCTCAGATCTCTGTGAGTTTTTGAAAGTGAAGTAAATAATGGAACCAATTATTATTATTGTTATTATTAGCAAGGTGAAATGCAAAACACAAAGATTCAGAGTTTATCCTTGATCATGTATTGTTATTTTATTGAATGCCATTCTGGTCACATACAGGTATACAATGTACATAAAATGAAATAGAATATATTTTTGAAATATTTAAAATATTTAACTTTTATGTTCAGGACGGATTTGTAAAAAATATTGCACGTATTAGCCAATCTAAATTCTAAATGTATAGAAAACATAAGGTAACAAATAACGGATCTAAAAAAAAACTTGATTTACTACAGAATGATCATACGCCTCGTTAACTATTTCATTCTAACTTTTAGTAATATTTATTATGCGTAACAATCCCGAATGAAATTAAATATAATACAATACAATCTAATTTTTCAGTCAGTTAATTTTAATCAACTGATTATTCTATAGAAAATTCGTGTTACAGACGAATTATATTATATATTATAAATAATAATTAATAAATAGTAAACGGAGTTACAACTTTAGCAAAAACAAAACTTATTGACTTATTTTATGACATATTAAACTGTATGAAAAACTATAACTGAAATAAATGGACTGATTTTAATTCATTATATTATTTTAAAGTCCATTAAATTAAAATGTCGATGGTCAATGATCAAAAATAAAGTTCTAAAATTTTGTTTATAAATAATTTGTATTTTAATATTCAGTAAAAAATAACTGATTATTTTATAAAAATATTTCTATGTTAACATAGTATTTACTTATAATTTTATATGATTCATTTTAATTTTTTTGATTAAACATTTAATATAGGTAGGCATATCTTTTCAATATTTTTATTAGTGTTGTAATTTTTCTCGGTTTTCCTTTTAATTTATAATTTATTATTCATATACATATATATATATATATAAATTTATTTATATTTTATTATCTAATATTTGTACTAATTTGAATTTACAAAAAAAAAAATATATTTTTATTAAATAATATATTTTTTTTCCAAAATCTGAAAACATATATTCTTTATTATTTAAATTTGAAAACATCTACAGTTATATTCTTATTGCATTATATTAGTTTTCATATCTTAATTATTTGTTGAATTTATAACACAAATACTAACTAAAAAATTCAATTTTTTCCATATTTTTATATTACAATACTTTACATTAAAAAGTTTAAACGATAACCGGTATTTCAAATGTTATTGTTAATTTAGTGTAATTTTTTCTGACGCATTGATTTTTATTCTAAATTATCAATTGTATCTAGTACTTGTGTTAACACCGATTATATAATTATAAACACATTTTAAGTAATCTATGGTAACAATTGAATTGCTCATTTTTAAATTAAAATTGTTAAAGTCCATATTTTTTTGTTTTAGGAAAACATTTTCTTTAGCATAGATGATACACTTTATAATACTAAAAATTTAATTTTTGATTATTTTAATGAATATTTTTTAAATGCGAGCAAATTACATATCATAATTGATGTTGGAAATATTAACCTGATTGCACATGTGGATATAATGAATGACAATTGTTAACCTTGAAAATAATGCAATTTAATACTCTTCAAGTATATGGATTACTTCAAAATCTGAGTACTTGTGTTACACAGATAATTCATGATACATTATGAGGAAAAATAAATTAATGTTCTGTTCAACTATTTTATGATTAAATATTTTAATTTTTTAAATAACAGATGTAAATATTATATTTAACAACGATAATAGTGATAATATTTATCCAAAAGGAACATTATCAAATTCATTAGATATATTTTAAAAATTACGTACTAAATATATTAAATATCTATATAACAGCTACAATATACGTTACATGCTTACATTTTATTGTTCAACGATGAGAATCGACAGACATACAAAATCAAAAATGGAAGATCGTAGTATTACAATTATACTTGAGCCAAATAAAATTAAAAAGACGAAAAAATACAATAATAATAATAATAATAATACTCTAATGATAGGCAACGACAAGTTGGTTGCTTTTTGACACGTTTCTTAAATACTAATAATATTGCTCCACAAATAATTAATCGTCGGCTATTCGAACTTCTGTTAAATAAAAAAATTATTGGCTAATACATAGTTTAATGTAATTTTAGGACAGGTGAAAAACATTAAATGAATTTGATTGTCTTACATTCTAAAATCTTATATAATTTTTTTTTCTTGTTTGAATATTTATGTGTAATTTAAAAGTTAATTTTGTACGGAGAACTTATGAGGGATAACAGATATTTTACGGTGGGTAGGGCTTGTGTACCAGACGATTTTTCAAATTGTTTATAATAATTTAATCTCAGAAAGGTATTAGTATAAGTATTAACATTACAAATATAAATAACACAACTCAAAATTCACAACATTTGGTAAAATATTATAGTAAAAATATAAATTCTATAATTTAACGAGATATTAATTTACGACATAGGTAAGAAAAAAAAATCATTAATAATAATAATAATAGTAATAATAATAATAATAATATATTAGAGGGATAATATTTTATTAACCGTCTTCGTTTAAAACCGTCAAATGTAGATGCATATAATATTTATGTTGCGTTCCAACGATTTTCACGGCGTTGTAAGTCTTCACATCCGTCGGCCAAATTCTTAAATAATATTTGTATTAAAACGTCATACGTTTTGAGTTTTATAGGAATGTTAACAATATTTAAATAACTACTTTATTTTACGTTTAACCATTCGATTTTTAAACATCGAATTCGAAAGGAATTACGTTTTTAACGACTTCCTTCGATAAATACTAAAATAAAATATTCTAGAGTATTATTTGTCATTATATTACTTTGTATATAATAATATTATTATAATATTGTAATGATAAATATTTAGAAAAAAAATTCTGAATAAAATTCGTTTCAACATTCCTTGTTAACTCAATGTATAATTTGCAAAATACTTCACTCGGGTAATGTTGACATCAGTGTCGGTTATACGATATACATCACAGAAAAGAACTCGATAAAGAATTGTCGAAACAATTCATATTACAGAGGATTACGTTTATACCTCAATACGATGAAGAATAAATCATACTATGAGACATTTCTAAGGTCTCCTATTTATATTTGAAGATAAATTTTTATATTTTTATGACCTGACACTATCCCTTTCAATTTCAAGCTGACCAGCGCCCCACAATAGACGATTTTTCGTGTATGGAATAAGCCCAATAAACACACCAGATAAAACGATCCAAAAACCAGCCAAATAAAAAGATAAGTCCCAAACACCGGTCACATCAGACACCCAACCTGAAAATAAACAAAAAACAAATGTTAATGATCAGTTATTTAGTATTGTATAGGATTATAGATATAATAAATATAATAAATGGGTCTTCAATTTGTATGAATTTTTTTTTGACAAAAAAAAAATCTCATTTAATCATCTATAAAAAATTAAAAGTCAAATAAATAACTGTCAAAATAGTGTATGAATACTAAAATTGCAAATAATTATATTCCTGTAGGGATATAAAAAAATTAATAGATTTAAACATTTTTCCGAAATAATACTTTAATTATATATTATATCAAATTGTTGGTTTGAATTGTATTTATGTTTTAATTTAAAAAAAAAAAAAAATCTGGCAACTTAGGTATAAATAATTAAATTTACACTCTCACAAATGAATTTCATTGAACTGAAACAGCAAATTTTTGTTAAATATAATGCTTACAAAGTATTTTCTTTTTTTAGGATAAGGTAAATACTTATTAAGTGAACTCTATTGTTTTAATTTTAAATCAATTTGAGTTTCAACAACTTAATTAACGTTATTATTATTTTCTTTGTTTCCAGGTCTGTCAGAAAAATATGTATCAATAATGTATAAAGTTACATTCCACTGTTTGACGTGATAAGTAACATTTTACAATGCATATCATCGTCATTACGGTGAACTATCGTTCACATCGTATTGTATAACATAGCAGAAAGTCTTGGATTCGATGCCTTGCAGGGATGACTAAATACAGAACCTGTAGCTTAGCTATAGCTGAGCAAAAAAAAAAAAAAATGATGTAAAACTATATTCTGTTTTACGGGTTCGAAAAAAATGCATTCATGCAAATCAATTGCATGGTATTTCATCGGTGGCGTAATTATTAGAGAGCAAAGTGGGACAGTGCATAAGGGCCCAAGGGCGTTAAATTGGGGGGGGGCGAGGGAGGATATGGACCCTCTGGCTTTTTCGTGTTTCCTATACAACTATCCATAACCGTACGACGCGCGTATATTTCGAATTTCCGCATAAACATGATATTAGTTGGACGGGAGGGAGGACAGGAAGGGTGGGAGGGTAGCTTATTTACCGCCCTGGGACCCTTTGCTGTTCAGCTGCGCGCTCCACTGCATCGCACGTCCAGACCGTTTACCCCAGTGTCAACCCCCCCGGCACGTTTTACCTGCCAACGGCGGTCCCAACAGGTTCCCGATGCCCTGGCACAGCAGCATCAGACCGTAGGCCGTGGTGAACCGGTCCAGCGGTATGAGCTCCACCAGTATGGCGGGCGTGAACGAGAAATTGGACGCGAAGAACAGTCCGAACGCGGCGCCGATGACGATCAACGACCAGAAGCTGCTGATGAACAGCGGCATGATGGCGCAGCAAATGCCGCAGCCCACCAAGCAGATGGCGTACACCTTGGTCACGTTCATCCACGGATAGTCGCCGGCCCAGCCCAGCAGTATCTGAAACGGAGACGCGGCACGTTAACCGTTGTCCAGCGCGCGCGCACCGGCGGATCGGGACCGGTTGGCCCGACCGACGTCCGGCCCAGTGGCTCGGCGACGCCGAACGCGCGTACCCGGGGCAGCACACGTTTCCGTCGAAAGTTTCCCTTTTCCACCGACACCCGTTTCGCGCTTGTGTTCTACGTACGTTTTCGTATTTCCGCCCAACGATATTTTTACTGATACCCGTTTCCACCGAAAAAAATTCTATTGTGTCCAGCACAATGTTATGCGTGTCGGGTGTTGATGAGGCTTTTATCGGACTCCGTGACGGATTTAGTTTTGCCGACGGGTTTTAACGTTAAAATAAAATGCGATGATTTGACCACTCCTCACCAGTACCGGAAAGGTTTAGCATTATCATATATATAAATATAGCATAGTATAATATACATGTACGTTTAAGAATCATAAACTCAAGCGCAGTACTAAAAAACGACTTTTCTCGTGTACTTTTAAGTCGATCGAATGAGATAATTAATCGAACACAAGGGGGTGGGGGGGGAGTTAGGTAAGGTTAGATTAGTCTTAACCCCTATCTGTTTTGATCCTGTAACCAACAACTAACCTATCCGTTGATATCATACGACTGTACGAGTCGTTCGGTCTGTAGATAGTGTATTTTTCATATTTATAGAAAAATAATCCGTGTACTCGTGATATAGAAATTGATCCGGCGTAAAAAAGGTTACGATCGAAATACAATTCGGCGGAAAAGGGAAAGGTACGCTTTTGGTGGAAACGTGTTACGCCCGCGTACCTTTGTGCCTCGTTTACACGTGACGAGCGCTCGGCCGACAAACTCGTCGTTTTGTAACCGAAATCGACCGACTCAGCGCCCACACACGTTTTATTCGCTGGACCGAGCGACGCACACGAGTTCACTACACGATTGCTGCTCGGTTGGCGGTGTTTAGACACGCCGAGTGCGGTCAACTTTGGTAGTGGGGTTAGTCGCACAGTGAACAGAAACGGTTTCCATTCCACTCGCTCGCTCGTATTACAGGGCCGAGTACTGTTCCCTTCAGTTCACGCGGGACAGTGCTCGGCCGAGTGCCGAGTCACGTGTAAACGAGGCATTAAGGTGATTCGGGAGGCGGGGGGCATTGGGCCTTTCGTCGTTTTCGAAAAACCGGCACTTGATGGCCGGCGGGCGTTAGGGCATTAAGTTTCCCATTTAAACGCGATCTTAAATATATTTAATGGCCGAGTAATGTCTGGACGCGGGTGGTTGAAATTTGCGCTTTCATCAAAAAGTTGTACGGAGCCGCCGGTCCGGCCTATCCGTGTAAAATACAATGCACGCGATTCGTAAAGTCTCCATTAGCTGTTAGCGTTCTTCAGCCGCACGGCCTGATACAATAGCGCATCCGCGTGCACCGAGCGAGGGGATGAAGAATTCACGTCGTGCGCGCATTTCGCGCCCGAGAACGTTGAATGCCCCGCGGACTCGAGTGTTTTGAAACCCGTTCAACGGATTACGGATGTACGCGCAATAATTATGACATAATTACATAAATACATTGTAGTTTCCTTACGTTGGGCTACGGAATAGACGATTCATATTTTTGGCAAAATATTCAACGCATTTTTAATCATATTAAATGTGCGCACGGATAACGGGCGCGTCTTAAACAGAATCCCGAATACGTCCTGTCTAATTTTAAATAGAACTGAGGTAAGTTTTCAAACTTCAAACAACTTTGTTTTGTTTCGTTGAAGTGATTGAGCATGACGATTAATTTATTTTAAATTACGATGCGATAAAAAAAAAAAAATATCATACATAAAAAATAATTATAACTGTTTATTAATTTGTTTAGTTTAATGATTTTAGCATTAATATACCATTATGACTTCCAATTGACAAAAAATCGTTGTTTTTACGAACAAAATATATGTAAATCCAAGATGGGCATAACTATACAGTTTTTACGTTTAATTCCTTTGACGAAAATTATTAGCTGTTTCAACGTTTTTTTTTTCGAGTTTCGCACTGTCACTAGAATTTTAATGCGCTATAGGTAACTGTGTGAAATTCAAATTTATTAAAAATATTTTTAATTAGTTTGTGGAGTACACCGTGGAAATTCTTTTTAACTGTGAAAGCGTCATTTAAATTGTCATTTATGAAAGCTTTTTGAAAATAGAATATAAAATATTATACACAAATGTTTAAACAATAGAATATAAATAAAGAAATAATTGGAAGGTATATTAATGCTAATATAAAATAGAAAATGTTGGTGTTTTCAATATTTGAATATTCATATAATAATTTATTTATTTATTTATTTTTTAATTTAAAAACAGTTTTCGTTGTTCTGGGTTTTAGACACTTACGATATACAAAAGGGTGTAATCCTGTAGAAACTGTTGATTGATATAAATTAGGTTCTCGGGTAATTTAGTTCATAATTTAACGGTCACTGTTCATTTGTAGCCGAAGAACAATATACAAATGTTCATAATTTGCGAGTTAAAGAAGTATTGTATAATAAATATAAATATACATATTTGTTTTTAGATATTATACTATACATCAAACTCGTAACTTAAATGTATTCACAGCAAGTAAATAATATAACTATTTAGTATTTATTATAAATATTTTTTTAAAAAAAAAAAATAAATTATACATATGATACTATTTACACCTTCGCTTTAATTATTATTTGACTTCATACAACGGCTGCATACATGGCAAAAAACGACAAGAAAAAAACAATTTTATAATTATTTTTAATTATTATTTAACGTTAGTTAAACAAATAAAAAGTAAAAAAAGTAAAACTCAAATCATCTCTCCAACACTCGCTCCACTCGCATTATTTTCTCGATCATTAACTTCCTAAATTCTCCTGGCTTCTTTATTTGAACATACAGGTATTTTTATTATTCATCAGTAAATCTGTATATTTAATTTGTATTTATATTTGTATTTTGTAATTTATTATAGCATTGTTGTAATGTATCCAACAAAGGAAAAAAATAAAATAAAAATAAAAATACAAAACAAATTAATTGTTTTGATATTTACAGTTTAGTTTTAACTTTAAATTTTTTTTTAATTGGTATTTTATGTTTAAAGGTCTGGAAATCTCAATTTTAATCTAATTTATTTGCCGATATGACAAATAAAACAGTTTTAAGTGTACGGCTATAAACGGTTGTTTAAATATTAAAATATTATAATGCCTATTATTTTATGAAATTATTTTTGTGCCTTGGACATTTCAAAAGCCCTACAATAATTATAAAATTAATACTACAAACAATTAAATTCATAGTTATGTTTAATATTTTAATACCGTTAAATGTTAAATTATTCAAACGCATGGTATAGCCTTTTAACTAATAGGAAATAATCAAAAGTTAACTTCTATTAAATATTATTATTTTTTTTACGTTTTATAAGGTTAAAATAATTAATTAACTTGTCCGGTCTCTAGGTATTTTGTTCGCAGTTTTTCTGTAACGAATACGTGTATTATTATACATCATATTTTTCTGATTTTGTTTCTGAGTATACATCTGTTCGAATAAAGAACACAAAACGCTAGTTAAATGTTCTATTTATTACCGTCGTATACTATTAAAAATGAAAATATGTCAGTTTTATTGATTTTGTGGTTTCGTTTACGGCCCTCGACGTATTACACAAGGTACGTACCATTCCAACGGTGTTCGTAGCTCCTATTGTACTGATGATGGTAGAGGCGTCAGTTTCACTCAGTCCTTGGGCCATAACGAAATCGGTAAGGTAGAAATACGGCACGATGAACCACGTGAACAACAATATTGTAGATAGGGACAGGAACAAGAAGTGCAATTCCAAAAACATACTAAAGTCCAAGATTCCGCTGAATAGCTCTTTCGCTTCAGTGTACCATTCCTAAATCAAACAAACCGTTTACGAATTAAGTAACATATATATATTTTTTCTACAGAAAATTATACATTTCATTAGGATTTTTGTGTACAATCTTGTGCCATGCAGCGACGTTTATTCTTCGGATGCGAGTAGAGTTATCGATTAAAATAAATAAATAAATAAAATATCGAACTTTTCTTGTAAAATCAATGGCTCGAGTTTTTGAATATATTTAAAACAAGCAATTGCGTACACGTGAAAAACGATCGGGTAAACAATAAATTATATAAGTCCTGGTCAGGGGCGTTTCTAGTGACCAGAATTTTTTTTTACCACGTATTTCAAATGTATTTATTTCACGTGATAATAATTTTGATAGTAGTTCTATAGTATTAGACGAATCGGCAATAGATTACATAAATAACCCTGGCATATGTTTATAATATTAAACTTAAATTGTATAAAAATATTAAGAAATAATTTTTTTCTAAATTCATTAAGATTTCGATGGGGAGGGGTTGAACACATACTCCTCCTAGGTATTCGGATCCTAGTATGAATAAATGTTTTTTTTCTTTTTTTCAGTGATCCTAACACAGTGACGACGTTATAAGTAATCACTGTTAAAATAATAAGGACTATTACAACAATTATTATATTATTATTATATTATTATTATATTAATACAACAATATTTACGTATATATTTTTTCATTCTTCATACACAGAAGATATACTGCAAACATTTATCCGAATGATTTTCCATATGCATCGCGGCCATGCGATCACCACCAAAGTACTGCAGCCAGACATTTATAATATATTCGGCGTACAGTGTTTCATATAGTATAACAGTTATCTCTATCAGAATTCACATGCGATTCCGTGCAGTCGCCATAAATGCATAATATTTTAGTTGTTTTAGTTATCATAAAATTAACTCAATTTTGCGTAGGTATTGAAACATTACGAACCTCGTAATATTCGTCAGACATCTATGCATTTTAAAGATTTTTCAAAATCCCGGATACACACAAAATCGTAAGAGCGTAGTGCACACATGTATACATTTACAATAATGTTAAAGACATAATGAGACTATTGTTGAGTTTTTTGTCCTTAATCCTACGCCGCCATCGACCACCTACATACTCTTTACTTGTCGTCTATATTCCACACATTTACACACACATACACACACGCGCGCGCGCGCACACACACACACACACACACATACACACACAACCATGCGCATACACCCTCATGCTACCGCCTACCCGACAACACCTTCCCTATCGTCGAGTAAGCATTTTAACCTGCACTGAGAAAACGAGACCAGAGCGTTTGCGCGAACGCTATCGATCGAACCGCGTTGGCTTTTGACCCGACTCAACACACTAAAACTATATACGTATACTGTGCCACCACCGTCGCCGTCGAGCGGATCGATGCGAGACGATGAAAATACGTTGGAATAGTCGAAATTCTTCGGTGAAACTATGCACTTCACGCATTTATTAAGCTATATCTCTCAGCACATATAACACTGGATGACCGAAAATATTCTCGCCGTTCCGTATACACAGCGGACCACGGGGGAATTATTTGTCCGATATTTTTTTATCGATGTACCGACGTACACATAATATATATTAGGGACGTGGGTATTGCGTGCACTATCATGTTCAGACCGGAATGGATGTGGGGAAACGGACATTTATAACTTAACCAAAAGATACGGAACTCAACTAATAATCGTGCGCTCTTCGTTAGTTTTAATCGACAATAATCATTTTTTCCATTGCGTATTAATTATTACATTGTGGATGTTCCAATAGAGGTACGGTACACAGTTATAATTATACGGTAAGCACAATTCGCTTTGGATGATAAAAAACATTTTTACCATTCAAAACGAAATTATTATCTATTGAGATATAAATAAATGTATACCACGCATATGTATACTTCGGAAAAAACGGGTTATGTGCGAATTATATTAGACGTATTTTAAATTATACGTTTAATAAATTATATTGAAACAAATTTATTGAAAATTTCAGGAGGTATATAATAATGAGAAGATTAGCAATTCATTTCAAAAACTTTGAGATTAAGATTGGCAATACTCACATTTTCAAAGTTCACCATTAGTAGTGTTATTTATTATTACATATTGAATTTGTTTACTTTCAATTGTATTATATAACTATCAATAACGAAATTCAATTTTTTCTCATTTTGTCTTACAGTAAGTTTCGTTTGACTACTGTTTGTAGCTGTTTATATTTTATTCAGTAAATAGGTATTTGTAATGGCCGAACTGACTTTTCTGTCATTGTTTTAAATTTTAAAAACTAAGGTACTTGCATTATTTTATGTGATTTGGCAGTAAGAGAACTTGTTAAATAGCAAAACAGATAATAATTACAATTGCACAAATATACGTGTCTGATAGTACACAATTAACTGAGAAATTTTTTTGTATGAACAAATAATGATAACTATTCGGAAGTTAAAAGTTTAATTAATACCCATATAGATATACTGAATTTACAAAATATTAATAATTACTATAGTACTGCCCCTAAAATATCTATGAGAATTTAAACATTTCACCAGAGGCCTTAGTATCTATAATACTCACAGCTGCTACACTAATGAAAATTTACTCAATACTCCAGGCATTCTTCTTGAAATATTTGCGTTTATATTTCCGTAATATAGAAATATTCGATGAATTCCTCGGTAGTTTATAAATACCTGGTCGTTAATTTACCCCGGGATTAAATTGTATTTAATCTATGGTTATACCAGTTTTCAGCAAGCACGTGAAAATGTTAGAATTAAGTATTTATTAGCTATGAAGTAATAAACCAAAAAAAAAAAAATAAAATAAATTAGCCTTATGTCGTACTCAATACACTTTAAATTGCATAAGACTTGTTCGATGATTTGAAATGAAAAGTGTCAAGAGTAAACGTTAAAAGTCAGAATGGACGATTCCGAAAACTAGGTTTTGTGATTATATTTTCTTTTTTATCATGAAAAATATGGTGTCATTAAAATTCGATTTTTTTTTTTCACGCAAATTCACCGTTCAACTTCATTACAAGGATTTAATTCCAACATAAATCCAATGAATAACTTAAACGACGCAATACATTATTATAACGTGTATAGTAGTTTATATTAAAGGGGGAAACTTGTTCTTATCGACGATTTGCGTTATAACATTAAAATATTAATCTCTGGCGCTCGGATCATCACGGCAAAAAAAAAAAAAAAAAAGGTGAAACGCATAATAATGACCAATATTATGTGTAAACGAATAGACATTTTACGCGATTTCAGCTGCAGTACCTAACTAATATCGGCGGAGAGGAAAAAGAACCGTTATTTATCACACAAAAGGGCTTTCTGGATGTCCGTTCGTTCGAAAAATCACATTTCCATACACCTTCCGGCCTCTACGAATCGTGTCCCATAACGTCAATTACGTTCATGTACGGATTTATTGCGTCAGCGGCTGTTTTCGTATCAACACACTGGCACGGAAAAACAAAAATCACACATTCGTGTACGAACTGGAATGGCACGTGTGTCGACGGAACACGGGCCGACCTTTCGCGATCTTTCTCGATTTCAACTGCTTAATTCGTTCTAAACAGTTGCGTGGTTCGTATTAGTACGTATTGAACGGATGAAATTATAGACGACCAACGGTCGCGTACGCGGGAAACGAGATTGTGCCAAATCCCAAAGCCGAACCGTGATGTCGCCCAAAGGTTACTTTTTAAAGGTAAACTTTTTAAAAATCTCGATTTCCGGAAGATCAGTGTCTTCTAGAAAATACGAATTTTAAACGGAACGCGTAAGATCCTAAGATCGAAGCATCGAGTGTTCGGTCCGTCAATTGTTATGTCGACAGCGCAATGCCGATATCAGAAGCGATCGATTTGCTTACGACTTTCGAAATATCTTACTGCACAGAAATACCAAATCGCGTTAGCGCCCGGTACTTGAAAACCGGCTCATATTTCGCACAGCCGCGGTGGTTAATACGCGTGCATAATAATAATACGTAATTTGAATAGGTACGCGTAAACGATGACCTATTTGTTGGCAGTTGGCGGCGCTGAGGAGGGGTCGATTGAAATGCGGCCGACGCAACAACACCCGCGGGGAGACGAAACAGATTTGATATACAACATTAACGAGAACACAATGCAGAGGAACTGGACGCGCTTTGTCCTAGCCGGTCCGCATTTTAATTGCAACACAAAAGCCCGTTTCCTATCCATACCGCGTGGATATTTTATGAGTTTTCGGACGGAAAAAAATTAAAAATAATAATAATAACGATGAGATATGAATACCATTCCGATTGCGTATTGTCGTGCGCGTATTCACGATTGTATGTGTTCGGAAAGCTAAGAATCCATCAAACCGTTAAACTACCGTCGTCCCTGTGAGCGTGTGTACACGGAGTGCGAACGTTATTCATGTTGTTGCCGAGTCGGTTCATAAATTGAAAAATTAGTGACGACGAAAGATTGCGAGCGCTCGAACGTGATTTCGCAACATATTTTAATCCGTGACGGCGAACGTAAGAATATTAACTTTTATCAGACGTGATTATATATATATATCATCCTTCGTCTTTTTTCGTAATTACTTTTTATTCCATTCACAGCCGTCACGGAGATTAGTGCATTACACCATCCTACACGAAAAAATTGCAGTTTATATCCTAGGCCAGGGGTGGCAAGCCTTTTTTGGTTCAAGAGCCAAATTTTTAATTTAAGGTTTTGAAAAATCTTTCACGTGCCCAAAGAAAATTATATTTTTTAAGAATAAAAATAAAATTACAGATTTATTATATTATTTTTATTAAATTTTTATAATTATTAGTGAAACACGAGCAGCAATTGTTTCATCGGTCAAAAATCATTTCTTTCTTTCGATTTAATTAAATTTGTTATGACGAATAAGCTTTCACAAACATAAGTTGATGACAA